CACAGCAATGCCAACTGACCTAGTCGGGGCTTGAACCAGTGACCTTCTTGCTGTGAGGCAATTGTGCTACCCACTGCGTCGCTGTGCTGCCCCAAAAATCTAATTCATTTTATCAAATTATTTGTATGGCCATATTTTATCCATAACTTACAGAAGTTAATAGTATTTAATAGTTACGTAAAAAAACAACAACAAAAAGCAAATTTTTTTTCTCCATTGGTTAGCGACCCCTGGGGTCCTTACGTTAAATTAAAGACACAGCAATAGAGTCAGATGCAGCAGATTGATTTCATGGCACCAGGTTAAACTTTCTGACAGCTTTACAGCACTTGCATTATAATAATAATAATAAAAAAAAACTGAACATGTAGGATGATCTCCAAGTGGTGTTCTCCAAAATTAAATAAAGACTTAGGGGTATTGGTGTGTGTGCACCGTTGCGTGCAAGGTTTATATTTTCATAACCACCTCAGAGGATATTAAGGGTTGCGAGTCACTAGAACTATTGTTTTGGAGGCTGAAAAGTTTGAGACTAGCACTGGGCTAGAGGGCTCAGTAATAATATTATTATTTTTTTTATTTAATTAATAATTAATAGTATTACTAAATAATATATATTATTATTATTATTATTAATAATAATAATAATAATAAAATAGTAATCATTAATATTACTATTATGATTCGTTAATAATAATGATGACAACAAATCATAATAGTAATATTAATTATGACTGTTATTATTATTATAAATACATGATTATTATTATTATTATTATTATAAATAATAATAATTATTATTATTATTATTATTACTATATTTATTCATAGTAATAATTAATACTACTACTACTAATAATAATAATAATAATAATAATAATAATTATAATTATAATAATTATTATTATTATTATATGTATTAATAGTAATAATTATGGTTAAAATAATAATAATAATAGTAATAATAATAACAATAATAATAATAATAATTATTATTATTCATAGTAATCATTTTTATAATTAATCCTCATTCATTCATTCATTCATCCATTCATTCATTCATCCATTCATTCATTCTCTTTTCAGCTTAGTCCCTTTATTAATCCGGGGTCGCCACAGCAGAATAAACCGCCAACTTTATTGGCAACGGAGGCCCTTCTAGCCGCAACCCAGCACTGGGAAACATCCATACACACTCATTCACACACATACACATCGGACAATTTAGCTTTGCCAATTCACCTATACCACATGTCTTTGGACTTGTGAAGGAAACCCACACCAACACTGGGAGAACTTGCAAACTCCACACAGAATTTCCAACTGACCCAGTCGAGTGTCAAATCAGCGATCTTCTTGCTATGAGGCGATCATGCTACTCATTGCATCAGCGTGACACCCTATAATTAATACTTAGCCAGTTAATTGATTCCAATGCATTAATTACATGTTTGAATATGCAACCGAGGTTGTATTTATTCAAATATGCCTTCAACTACATAAATTCCTCACACAAAAATTGTAACATGTTGAGATAATGATTATAAGTCAATTTCAAAATTGTTTAATTTTTTTAACACATTAAAGAGTCAAATTTTGTACATGAACATATTACGAATAGTCAGAGAAAAAAAAATAGTAGAATAAAATGTTGTATATTTTCAGACATATTATATCCGGGGTGTACAAACTCGGTCCTGGAGGGTCGGTGTCCTGCAGATTTTAGCTCCAACTTGCTTCAACACAGCTGCAAAGATGTTTCTAGAAAACCTAGTAAGAGCTTGATTAGCTAGCCCAAGTGTGTCTGATTGGGGTTGGAACTAAACTTTGCAGGACACCGGCCCTCCAGGAACGAGTTTGAACATGCCTGTATTATATGAACTTATCATGAAGAGATCATTACTAATGGGCGGGGCTTTCCCCCTCTGATGACACGTACAAAGGAAGAATGTCAATGAAAGTGTTTCTGCAGACTGTTTTTATCAAGTGTGATTATAAAAACAATGTAAATAATTAAGCTTTATCATTAGAAGCTGGTTATATTCACACACTGTTGCCACATAACTGTGTTTAGCCAGTTAAACTCTGCGGATCCGGTACCAAATCCTTGACGTCATCAACTTTCACTTTAAGATTTTAAGGGCTAGCATTGCACCAGAACCCCTTAAGGGGTTTCATTTGAAAGCTTAGAATCTATACTTTATGCACATATGCATCACTTTGGTTTTTATTCTACTGTACAGAAGTTGTTTACACTTAAATACACAGTATTTTGGACACCCGAGCTAGGTCTTTTACATTGGTTCATTTTCATATTTTTCATATGACATGTGTACAAGTTATAGCTCAAATGAAAGCTTTTGCCGGGGCTCATATGGTTCCAGCATTCTTTTTACTGAATTATTTTCACATATCAAACAGTTGCCGAATGAATCGCGCTGTTTCCATGGCGCAGAAGTGAAAACAATACATTTATGATCACTAAGCAGCCCCAGATAGCACAGACAGCTGTCATCTCTTACCTTATGCTGTGTGCTTCAGGGCTATTTCTCCTCTGTTTTTGAGGTGATGTGCATAAGTAATCCTTTTATATATCTGACCTGGTCCAAACACAGTGAATTATGTTTGATCAAACAAAAGAATAGTGAAATATGAAAACAATGATCGGTCACTTTGGCTTGTACAGCACCTCTCATCAGTTGGAATACAATAACTTTTGCATAGATTATGGTGGAGACATTTTTCCTTTTTCCTATAATTACAGACATGTGCAGAAACCATCAAAATTAATTACAGCACCCTAGACCACACAGAACCTAAAAGGTATACTTTCAAATTTGAGTTTATTAAAAAAATACAAAAAGCGCCTCTTTTTTTAGGTGTTTATTATAACACAGACAACATATACAGATATTTTAAACACTTTCAATAGTGTTTTATGAAAATTCAAAGGGTTTTCTTTAAAATGATACCAAATATTTGCATTTACACCTCTGCATGTGGATTTGGGAAGCTTTTAAATTTAGGTATAGGCAAAATCCAGGCAGAAAATCCCAAAATAACAGCAGAGTTTAACTAGTTAAACCCCTTATAAAAATGTTTATTGCATAATAGCTCCCCTTTAAAAAAATATATTGTAATTGTACAAACACAAATTAATAAAATAAAAATCCCCAAATCTGAAATGAACAGGAGTATGAATAAACAAGCAGTGTTTTTGCCTGCAGTGACTTGCTTTAAACAAGCTGATGTGATTTCCTCGTCTCTCTCTGTGTCCTTATTATAACGCTGAGCAGTTCCTCTCCTCTGAAGGGCTCTTCTCTGATCATATTGGCCGGATTTATGACGGCAATTTGAATAAAACTATTAACCTTGATTAACGGAGGAACGCTGCAGCGTGAGATCAGATCAGATGCTATAAAAAGACTTGGCCGGCATTGTGATGCATGACGTAGTTATCCGTCCTGTCAGACAGAGGTGCTTTCAGGAGCATTCACACGCTTTTCTCTCCTCCTGACTTAACCTTTCCCATTCTATGCTCCTCATCTATTCATTTCAGCTCCCATTAATCATTGACAGCGATTGGTCTTCAATATTTTTCACTGAGAAAATGAAATCGCTGAAACGTATCCATTTAAGCATCTATTAAATACAGAGATTCAAGTCTGGAAATTACTGGTCAATTGCAAACGCATTAATATTGATGTCCAGATCAATTTTACAGGGTGTTCTTTGCGTGTGCGTGTGGTTTTAATACATATTCGAAATGGTTTTATTTTAGCATTTTTATGTATACAGTGCTGAGCATAAATGAGTACACCCCTGACAAATCTTTTTAATAAATCTTTTTAATAGGATGCAATAATACAATAATATGTTTGTGCATATACATTAGAATAGATTAATCAGTAATGAAGATAAATATGGAGCTAATCTATCTTTTTTTTTTTTTGTTCAGAGTTTTTTATTGACATTTTACTTAGTAAAACAACGTCAAAAAGATTTGAAAAATAGAGACATGGCACAAATACTGCACAATTTCTATACAATATATTATTCACATTTTTCATCTGTTTTACATCATGTCATGATGTATATATACATTCATTTATTAGTTCATTTACCTTCAGCTTAGTCCCTTTATTAATCCGGGGTCGCCACAGCAGAATAAACCGCCAACTTATCCAGCAAGTTTTTACGCAGCAGATGCCCTTCCAGCCACAACGCAGTACTGGGAAACGTTCACACTCATTCACACATACACATTCATACACTACGGTCAATTTA